ATTAATTTAATAATTCCCTTCTTGTTGGGTATTTGGATTATTTCCTATTATAATATTGCTTCAATGAGCATCCTCATGAATAATAAAGCTTTTCTAATATTTTAAGAGTATTTCCCTAGAACAGATGTTCAGAAATTAAATTATGTCAAACATGAAAAAAATGTTAACAGTTTTTAATGTACATTGCCAATTTGCTTTCCAGAAAACACTACCAATTTATAATCCCAGTAGAAAATGAATGACACAACCTCATCAACTGTAGGAAAATAAATTTGGCAGTTTAAAAGCAGCTAATTTGTATTTCTGAGCATAACCTTTTGTATCCAATAGTTATATATTTGTATAAAGTATCTGTTATGTGTCAGACACTATGCTAACTTTGGAGATACAGCAAGGTTCTCAGGAAGCTTATATTTCAGACCAGTAAAGCAGAAAAATAAGTTCTAATTTAAGGTGATAGTGAAAAGGGAAGAGTATTATGGGAACATTTTGAGGGGAGGGACGGGAAGAAATATCCTGGATCAGATCAAAACAATGGGATACACTATAATGGCCCAGAAACACAGAAACTGGGGAAACATTAAGTAAGTAAAAGAATATTTTAAGCTATATTGAATGTATTCAATTTTTTTCAAGTACTGAAGCCAGGGAGGAAGGAATATGATACAGGACGAAAGAGGCTGATAAAACCAATTTAAGGATTTCTTTTCTTTAAATTTTCTGACTCTACACCCAGACTTTTATACAAAATAGCTAATAAAATTTGAGCATTATACATAGTTGTTAGAATAAGATATTCTTTGACAATTGGCGAAATACCCTGCTAAATTCTTTGAGAGACAAGATAACAAGTACTTGACAACATAAAAATCAAAATTTCATCCACATAATAAACAAATAGGATGTCATTGAAATAATTTGGGCTAGCAAACTTTACAATTTTAAAAGGAACCTCTCTAGTGATGTCAACTTAGCCAAAATGCTCTAATATACTTACTTTGACTGATTTACATCAATAAGAGAACCTATTTTTGATGTGGTAAAAGAAATGTGCTCATCTCCAATAACAATTTCCAGCTCCTAAAAAAAAAAAAAAGCAAAGAAATACAGTTAACATAAAAATCTATCCCAGAAATATCTGTATTCTGCTTCCATGGGTCCCAATTTTAGTTGCAAGTTTTCTAATAATCAATAGAAGGATGGGTGAGGGGTTAGAAACTTAATCTTTTAGACACAAACTATACCCTTAAAATAAAAACTTTATCAACTGCTTATCGCACACACCAAATTTTAGTACCAACAACTGCTTTCCCGTGACAACATAGAGAAGACATTATAAAAATTAGAAAATGACACAGAAATGTTTCTTATGATGTCAGTAAACACTAAAAACATCTCTTCGAAGCCCATAGAAAAAATGATATGGATATAAACCTACTTTTAATATAATACAAACATTTTCCCTTTCTATAAGATTGTAAAAATAAAATACACAATAATAATAGCTGCTGCTTTAGCACCTACTATGTGTCAGGCCCTGCTTCTAGAGACTTTATAAGCATCCTCTGTAATCCCTAAAATAAACTTGTAAGGCAGGCTTCATTAGCCTACTCTACAAATGTGTAATTCAAAATTCATAAAGCAGACGAAGAAACTTGCTGATATTTATAACCACTAATCAGTGATGGTACTGACAGCTGATCTTAAGATCATGAGACTTAAAGACCAATACTCCACAAAAGAATTAAAATTAAGAACTAGTAAAACAAACACAACATAATGTTGGATGCTCCCAGCATGCCATAATTATGGTACAGTTCTTTATATTGTTTATTTGCAAACATAATTAAGAGGCTATTTTGCAGTATGTTTTCAAGTTAAATTAATAAACACGCCATTAAAGACAATCCTAGCTATATATTAAGTCAAAAGACCTAATTATGCAGTTTATGGAACACTCCAAACAGAAAATTAACCAAGATTCTCTAACAATCACAAAATCTTTTTTTTTTCCTCTCCTTCTTACTCTCCCAAAGGGAGAGAAGAACGATCATCAATGGCAAATGGCAATCGCACTAAAGCAACACCAAGAGCCGGCTGCACGCTCAGGAGAGAACGCTGCGCCTCCTCCTTGTGGTTTCACAAGGTGCTCTACACGTTCAGAGAGACTTCTCTAGTAACGAACTATAGAAATGATTCCTGAAAGTATAGTCTTACAAAATCTTTGATTTAGTGATCCAGCAGGCAATTTTGGGGGCATGCCTACTCTTCCCCACTGACCAAAATCTATGAACACATCAAGTGGGAAGATGAAATACTAGGCCCTCTCTGAGTGTAAAGGATATAAAGGGGAGCTATTATTTTTTAGTACATAAGTAGAAATACATAAAACAAACTAGGTCTAAATTTACTTTTTAAAAGTGATACAACGTATAAAATAAA